TGGTGGCCATTTATCAAAACGAACTGTATGCAAACCCCACAATGAATTTGATATTTCACACGTTCCTGTGACAGATGGCCAGGCCCCTGTTTTAGCTAGCCTAATGATGTCTGACAGTCATAAACAAACGTTACCATTACCACCACAGACTTTTAATCCTGATATTACACTGAAAGAAGAACCATTCTGCCCACCAATTTCAACCAGTGACTCTACTCCTTTTTTACAAAGTGGGCTTGGACACCCAAACACTCCTAACTTCAAATCTTGTTTAAAGAAGGAAGTCAGTCTGGTAAATCAGAAGTTGGAATCACCAAACACTGTAGATCACGCTAAGATTAATTTTAATATGTTGTCACAGAATTGCATGTCTGAAAATACAATAAGCTCTCCAAACTTGTCAAGTATGATCACACCACATGTTGTTCAAACCGCAACCACGCTAGATTACAGTAGCAATGTAGTTAATAATTGTGTTACCGAAGGTTCTTTTCCTGAAGAGGGTTGTCTAAAGATGGATGAGAATGGCTTGTGTTCAAATACAGTGTCGAATTCTCCTGAGGATAACAATTGCATATCTAGTCCTGTTGGTACTAGTAGGGTGTCTGTTATAAGTGGTCCACAGAAGTCACCTGCAACCTCTGCCAAGAAAAAGAGTGGGGGCTCCAAGAAAAAGAAGAAAACTGCAGATGCCCCTGCTGCTGATGGTGCTTCTCATGAACTAGTAAAAAATATTTTGGCAGCACTAGGAAACCTTCCTACCAGTATTACAGGGAATTCTCAGGTTCCTTCCGAAATGCAACCAAATTTCCTGGCCTATGGAACTGAATTATTGGAAAATATTGCAAAACATTTAAATAGTGCAGACAAACAGCTGTTTTTGGCTTACATAAATGAAAGTCTAACGGCCAATTCTGAGGTTCAGGTTTCATCCCAAAATGCTCCAGCGTCAGACAAAAGTGACACCCTAACCTTCACCAACTTCACCACTGACCACAAAGAGCAGGCAGAATTGGAAATCCAAACAAACTGTATGGAGAAGCCTTTTAACCATTCTGAATCTGATGCACATGTAGTTTTTCCTGTTAACACCCAAAATGTATGCTCTTCCTTGCCACAAAATCAGGATATTATTGACACTGTTGAGGCCACAATAGATGCTGTGCATAATACTGACTCTGCCAGCAGTCCTGTGGGAAAAATGAACATCCCGGTGTGTTCTGTCTCTCCAACCCAAGAAGTAAATCCAAAGCTTGACACAGAAGTGTTAGAAATTATGGATTTGGTCCAAAAAATGCAGTTGGTGGATAGTTTTATTCAAGAAGAGTTGGCAACTGATCCACAACCTGAATGCCCTTCTGTTGATTCTTTGCCACAGACATCCAGTGTGATTGTACCAAACCCGAGTCTAAACATTTCGCATGAAGAAACAGAGGAGCTTTCCAAGCCATTAATTGATAAATGTATTGCAAAGCCTTTCATTTGCCAAGAGACTGATTGCAGTTACTGTGCAATGACAAAAGATGCATTATTTAAGCATTATGCTAAAGTTCACTATTATACACAAGAAAAGATCTTGGAAATCAAGAAGCACCAGCTAAAATTTGCCCCTTTTAGGTGTGTGGTACCTTCATGCACAAAAACATTTACCAGGAATTCAAATCTGCGGGCACACTGTCAAACAATGCATCGTTTTACTACTGATCAAATGGTAAAGCTGAAAATAAAAAGACCATATGAAAGAAAATCTCTTAGTGAGGGTGTGACTGATCCAATTCTAGAAATGTCCCCTAAAATGGCTGAAGGTGAAAAAGATTCAGAATTGAAAACTGTTCCACCTCTGATAATAAAGAGAGAACAGGAATCATGCCAGAGTAAGCCTATCCTGCAAGCTGTACAACCATCTGAAGTGCAGAATGTAAGCACTGTGCTTAAAATGCCTGCTTCAGACTTACAAGATGTGGATAGTCCACAACCAGAAGCTAAAAAAGGGCCTAAAATAAGAAAAAAAAGAAAAGAGAAGGATCTGAAGCGAAAAAAGAACCTACTGAAAGACACCAAACCCTCCAATGTTTTAACTTCTTATAAACCCTATCAATGTGTTCATCAAGGTTGCACTGCAGCTTTTACAATACAACAAAATCTAATACTTCATTACCAAGCTGTACACAAGTCAGATTTATCCAAATTCTCACTAGAGGAGGATGCTAAAGATGACTCTGAAAATGGCCTACTACCCAGAGAGTTCAGATGTATGGAAACAGACTGTTCTAGAATATTCCAAGAAGTTGCCAGTTTGATACAGCACTATGTAAACTTTCATGAAATGATTGCTGAGGAAATTGAGAATGTTATTGCCTTCATACATATTGGACAGTTTAAATGTGATCAACACAAGTGCACATCTATTTTTACAACTTGTGCTGGATACATTGAGCACCTTGAGGCAGCTCATGAAATAAAAATGAAGCAGATTAAACTAGATGGAGATGAAATGTATAAATGTGACTGTGAAGGCTGTGATCGTGTTTATGCAACCAGGTCAAATTTGTTAAGGCACATATTTCACAAGCACAACGACAAACATAAGGAGCATCTTCTAAGGCCCAGGAAAATTAGTCTTAGTGACCAGGAAAGTCCAGAGGAAAAACATCAGAAAGAAAAACACAAAGTGCCTAAACTCAAGTTAGAAGTGGAAGGGGCTGAGGTTCCTAAATCAAAGCGGGCCAAAGGAAATAGTTTGGAAAAGGATTCCAAAGGTGTAAAGGGACAGGAGAAACCAGGTCCATTGTCTCTGAAATATGGCAGGCATACTTATTTATTAAAACCTAAAGATGTAGCACTGGCAGAATGCACAGAGAATCTTGCTAAGCAGTACCCTTGTATGGTCCGTGGATGTAAATCTGTTGTCACTAGTGAATTCAATATTATGAGACATTACAAGTGCCATAAACTCTCAAGAGCTTTCATTTTAAAGCATAAAAAAGCCCTGGTTGTCTGTAAAAGGCGCGTGCAAGCCAAACCCCACACTGGATCTCCAAAGCATGAGCCCACAGAAGATACTGCTAAAACTGAGGTGCAAAAGGAGGTTTCTCCACCACAAGCAGTGGCTATGCCTAGCTTGATTGAAAGTAGCGACGAATCCACTATTTCCACATCTCAGCAGAGTGAAACTGAAAAAGATGAAATGGATGAACTTGCCGAGTTGTTCATAGCAAAGCTGAGTAATGAAGAGAGCACGGGTTCTGACAGTCAAGCGAAGACTCAGTCCCTTGCAAACAACGATCTCCAAGAAACAAGTTCTTGCCAGTCTGAACCTCAGAGGGATGCCAGTAATCTGAAAAGAACCAATAAGCAAAAGAGTCCTACCCCAAATAGAAAGCGAAAAAATGATTCCTCTGAAGAAATACCTTCTGTAGAAACATGCAGCACGGTTAGTGGTGAGGAGATTCCCTCAACTGAACTTTTACTAGAGGAACCACCAGCATTAGACTTGAGTTCTTTTAAACCTATGGGATTTGAATTTTCATTCCTTAAGTTCCTTGAGGAATCTGCTGCGAAGGAAAATAAAAGGGTACAGAGTCATCACATAAATGAACCAGAGACAGATTTTCAACCAGTTGAGAAGAAATTAAGGTTATCGGAAGAAGAGGATTTATTGTGGGATAACTTTGATACTGACACTTATTTACTTTTTGCTAATCCTTCCCACCTTCCAGGATTGGACAGTGTAAAAATAGTTTTAGATCAGTCGTTAAACAATTACATTGACCTCATTATTAAACAGCTTAATGAACTGAATCCGGTTGTGGTTCTTAAGAGACAAGAATTCTCCTGGGATAACTCAGCTAGCGTTGCAAAGGAACAAAATTTAGATATAGATGAAGATGCTGACGTATAGAGAGGTCCTAGTATGTTCAAAGTCTGTACATTTTAACTGTGTACTAGAAACATCAAGCATGCAAATAAATGTATTTTTTATTAGTTTTTGTTGTTGTGAGAGTGACTTAACCTGGCTGAGGAAAAAAAGGAAAAATTTATATTATGACGAAAGTCATGAGATTTTTCTCCATTCTAGTTTATCCCTATGGGACTCAAGGAATGGAATTTTTATTCAGTTATGTATATATTTCAGAACCTGGTTATTTCTATTGATAAATTGTCCTTTCCACAAATAACAATTTGTGTATTGTCTGTGATTTGGTTATGTTCACCAGTTCACTGCTTCATGTGTAACGGGATTCTTTTATCTGTATAGAATCATTTTTTTGTAAATATCATTGTTAACACATTTGCTGCCTACGTTGAAACTATTAAATTACACGTTTATATTCTGAATTTTAATTTGTAATTAAGTGCACCTTTTTAAAACATTTGCATAATACTGTTTATATTGTAGATTTTTATACCTGAATTCATGTTAGATGTCATCACATTTTGAGTTTTCCATATGCAAGGAAGGGAAGGTTTGTATGAGTCAGAACTTGCAGTATAATGAACTGTTTGTTTTCGTGATACATAGGTAGGGAACATTGGACATTTAATAGTTTGTTATATAATGCCACCTCATATGTGTCAGTATTTAATATGTAGGCTTTTGGTACATTTAAGAATGTACCAGGATGCCTTAAATAAAATCTTCAGCGTTTTTATTTTGTGTATAGCTGACATTCCTTAAAAACATAGATGAATATCTCATCTTTTCTACACTTAACTTCATCTGGATATATACTACATTTTGAGTGCCTGTTAAGAGCTTCTCTCCAAATCCACTCTTTATGGCTCAATTAAAACCAGGTTTATGGTTACTGCTTAGCATGCTAAGCAGGGGTGGGCATTTTGAGGGAATAAAATTAGTTGTTTTCAAGCCCCATTTAAATGGTCTGTTCACAAAGTCCTGATGTCCAGAACTCCACAAATGCCAGACTAGACACGTAATCTGTCATTCTGCATTTAATTCTCTGGGTACTAAATCGCCAAAAAAATGCCACACACAGTATCATCTTGTCTTGCATCCTTGAGGTTCTGAATTGTATGCTAAATGACCTTTCTTAAAGGGACATGCATCACTTTATTTTTGTAAACCAGCAATCAAAAACTTTTTAACAAATATACAAACCAAAATAAAGAAGGAAACACTTGTAATAAATGTTTATAAACTTGGTCAGATTGCATTGTTGGGCTCGCCTATCGGCTATGGATGTTTTTTGAGCCCCTCCTCCTATCCACCCATCTCATTTTCAGGCCATTCACCTAATATCAGAAACAGGGCATCATCGCGCAGCAGCTGGAGAAAGAAATTCTACACTGGAGCCTGCTTTGCATGATCACACCGATCAGAATCCCTTTCCTCTACTCCTATAAGGATGTTGCAAGATAAAGAGATCTGTACATGTGTAAATCGGTCAGCCATGCCCAATGCTCTGCCTCCCTGGAGTGGGTGTGGAATGCATAATAATTAAGAAGCAGGTAAATAAGAAAAAAAATATTTACATGCAGTGTGTGCTAATTGTCTCATTCAAAGCTAAAGCTTTTGAATGAGACCGTTCTCTCACTATATTTTGTGTTATGTTGAAATGAGTCTCTTGGTAATGTATCCTTGGTTAGTTTCAAGCTGCAAGAGATAGTAACCACATACTCTTTGCACCTTTAAATAGCACTAAAAGCACCCAGGCATCTTAAGCTCAATTTCAGTGGTATGTGTGCAATGCTGCAATTCCCATTCTGTAGTAACAGCAATGTTTACATTGCATGGTTAGTACTCCACTAGTGACTTATACAGGCTCAAGACTCACTTCCTCTGTTTAACAGTTAAACTTGTTTATAGATTACTGCTCATACAGCAGCATTTCATTTGTGTAGCATAGTGGTTTGGAGCGCATGTACACAGGCATCCCACTAATTCCTTACAGGGAAGCATTGGATTTGCTGAGATGATCCACCTTGAACTCTGTCAAGGAGGCATGATCAGTGGGGATACAAAGGCAAGACTTAATACTATTATTCCAAGGGTTGGGAGAGAGCAATAAATTACTAAACACCAAGAACAAAATTATAGAATTAGGAATACATGTTTGTATCCCTATCCGCAGGGGAAGGCAACCTTCGGCACTCCAGATGTTATGGACTACATCCCCCATAATGCTCTTACACCCATAATGGTGGCAAAGCATCATGGGTGGTGTAGTACAAAACATCCGCAGTGCCGAAGGTTGCCTATGCCTGCCTTATCGTGATCGTCTTCTTTTAATACACACATTCCATGTCTCCTTTTCTGCTGTGGAATGTTCAGCATGTGGCTTTTCCCAGAGCTATATCTGGTAGTGGTATTGTTAAAAATGTATTTTATATTGCTAAGTATGCTAAAGGAACATTATGGTGTCAGGAATACAAACACATTCCTGGCACTATAGTTTTAAGATCACTACTTAGGCCCCAAACCCCTGTCCTGCCTTTACTCACCTTATTAACAGCACCACCAAAGTCTCCTCGCCTCCTTGACTGAGATCATCAAATTTAAATCAATGCATCTTTATGAGAAATGTTCAGCACCTCCATGTAGAGCATGGAGATGCTGAACATGTGCAGAATGGGTCCAGGGAGCATATCTAGTGGCCATCTGAGTAACTGCCGCTAGAGGAGTTCCTATGCAGTAATGTATTTAAAAAGCCTGCAGGGTAAAATGCCATGGTGAACTAAAACAATAGCATTTGTTAATTTCTCACAAATTTTTAGATTTTATTCGTATTACAATTATATATGTGTTTGGTGCACTTAATATGAAAGAGGTAAATTATGGTTGAACAGAATATAGCTCAAATTCCAGGTTTTGTTTTGATCAGAACTTGTACAATTGGCTCCGTCCTTAAGATGTTAAAATAAAACTACAGGCTGGAGAACTCTGAATGCATTATCCCACAGTTGGCAAACCGTTAATTTCATAGTCTGAGGAAGCCCTCTAATACCTTTTTTTTTTTAAGATAAATATTTCTCTTGAAGAAAACTCCTTGCCATGAACAGTGTATAACAATATTTTGGTTACACAGTTGGAGACTTTTATTGTCGTGCCATGTAGCGCGTGGAAAATCTAATGCCTACATGCAGTGATTATTCCGGCACTTGCATGTAAAAATCATACAAAAAAATGGGAAGGTGCAGCGTTTTGAACTGCAACTCTCATCATGCTTAGCCATCAAAAGTACTGTATGAATTTGTAATATCAGCTAAAAAATTCCATTTTATGGGCAGTTGTGGAAATTTTTATTTTTCTTGAACATATTTCCACCTCAGCTGGTCTGTATTCTATTATTTTTCTATTTAGTTTTAACATTAATTAAAAAAATATTTAATTTAATAAATACTTTATGGTCAGTCTTGCTCTGGCTGCATGTGAAATGTCTGTTACATGTTTTAAAAAAATAAATAAATATATATATATATATCTTGTTTTTCTATGCAATACTGCAGTTATCACCACCATTTTATGAAATCAATTAACTGCTCCCTATTTCCACCATTTTATTTTACTAATATCAATGCAATATTCTCTGTGGCAGCATGGTGGCAGTAGAGTGCTACTATTGTCCATTTTATTATAAATCTGAATTTAATATGTTGTGTAGATTTTTGAGATCACCAAGAAGCGAAACTATTTCTCTTTAAAGCATAAATACTGGTTTGCCATGTCTAAAAGTATTACATTTAACTTTTTTTTTTTTTCTGTAGGACAGGCTTCTACAACTGACCTATTAGAAACTGTAGTCCTTTAAACAGTCCTGCTTATCCAGGACATCTTTCTTGCTAGCATTAGTCCCATAACTTTCATGGGCTCTGTCATTTTAAATGAACAGTATTGACCTAAATAGCTTTAGTATGAAAATAAAAACTTAAAATTCAAATTGTGACTTATTTCCAAGAAAAAAAAGAACAGGGCACTAATCATATTCCATACAAAAACATTCTTACATTCAAACACTGCTCAGTGTTAACCCATTAAGGACTGAGCCAATTGAACAAGTTGTGATCAAACAAAACGTAAGCAAACTATAGAATTTGACTACGTGTCTGTTCAACAATAAATTCAATCAATTTTTTTCAACAATATTAATTTAAATATATATTTGGTGTTTAAGACACAGATACATACTGACTACATACAAACACACTATGACAACATACAGATACACAGGCTGACACACATGCAAGAACAGCGCTCACATAAATAATTTTTTGAGTTTTATAAGGTTTCCTAGAATCTTGTCTCTGCAACCTATCTCTGCCAACAAATATAGTGATTCAGTTCCACCATATGGCCATATTGCGCTAAGCCTACCACTATTTCACAGTACCCCAATATTCGTGTATCCTACACTTACACTACAATTCCAGTGTGGGAGGCACATTAAGTTTAGTGCTAAATAAGCAAAAGAGCATTGTAAATATATATGCCTGGCCCCATTCTCTCTACCTCTTTGCGGCTCTATGTCTCTCTGGGGGGAAGTGACCGGCTGTCATTTCCTCCCATGCTGCCAATGTGAAAGAGGCCCAGTAATGCTGTTAGTGCCCAAACGAACCCCTGCTGACAAATGTCCATTGAGTGGACCTAATAATGATAGGTGATCCTAAAATAAATTGTTGTTGGCAGAGGGCAAATAGGGCAGCTGCTTTGGGTCTTGACAAAAGCCAATGTAATAATACAAACATGCATGCAATGACTGTGTCCTAAAGAAACAATTTTCATTTTCAAGTTTGCTAGGTGAGATTTTAGTGCCATAAGTGACAGCCGCACTGGATTCGAAGCATCGCGCAATACCCTCCTTTACTGCCGGGACCCCGAAACAGTCCCCCCCTCTGCAAAATAGGACCCCCAGGGGCCATGTGACCGCTCTGAAAGAGCGATCACATGGTCGCCATAGGTGTCCATAGTGCCAGCAGTGGGACTGCCCGAACTGACAAGCAGGTTGAGAAAAAAAAAAACATTTAAAAAATATATACATACTAAGTGTAGTTTTTTATTATATAGTATACTAAGTGTAGTTTTTTATTAATATATACATATATTAATATAAAAATACACTTAGAGTAAAATTACACATATATATATAATTTCATATATATTTTTTTTTAAACTGTATTTTGATATTAATATATATATTTAAATCAAAATTTGCTTCGAATGAAATTATATATATATATATATATATATATATATATATATATATATATATATATATATATATATATCCTGACGAAAGTTCCTTAGAGAGCTGAAACGTTGATCTTCCGTGGCAGATGCCTGAATAAAAAGCTGTTTTTTTTCACGATATTTTCGAAGTCCTTGGAGTTCTATCATTACTTTATTTCTATATATCTATGTATATATAAATAAAAATAATACGAAATATACATATGTCCATGTACATAATTACATACATTATTTCATGAATATACACGTACACTCTAAATAGATAAATATTGTGTATATATATATATATATTTAAATTCTACGTGCATATTTATGTAATATTTTTACATAATTAAGTAATTTTATTGATTGCAATTTGGGGGACCGGCCTGACAACCCAGGCCGAAAGTACAGAGATTTTCATTTGCTAGCACTATATTTAACCCTGTATCTAAAACCTGTACATGGAGGACTGTTTTACTCAGTAGACTTCTCTGAACACAAATATTAGTGTTTCAAAACAGTAAAACATATCACAGCGATGATATTCTCAGTGAAAGTGGCGTTTTTTTTGCCTTTTTCACACACACACGGCATTTTCACTGGTGATATCATTATTGTTATACGTTTTACTGTTTTGAAACACTAATATTTGTGTTTAGTGAAGTCTCCGGAATATAACGGCCCCCCCATGTATAGGTTTTATAGTGTATTTGAAAGTTACTGGGTCAAATATATGGCCATTTTTTCCACATAGAAATTTGACAGATTGGTTATGTTGCCTTTGAGAGTGTATGGTAGCCCAGGAATAAGAATTACCCCCATGATTGCATACCATTTGCAAAAGATAACCCAAGGTATTGCAAATGGGGTATGTTCAGTCTTTTTTAGTAGTCACTTAGTCACAAACACTGGCCAAAGCTAGCATTTATAATTGTTTTTTGCATTTTTAACACATAAATATACATGCTAACTTTGGCCAGTGTTTGTGACTAAGTGGCTTCTAAAAAAGACTGGACATACTCCATAATGAATACCATGGGTTGTCTACTTTTCAAAAACATGGTTTGATGGGGGTAAATTACAGTGGCCGGTTTAAAAAATGTCCCAAATAGGTCATGGGTGCATGATGACCAGCTGTGAAAATTCCAAGTTGGATAACCGGAATGCGCACCCTCCAAATAAGGTCTTTTAGCCCCCAGCGAATCCAACATGCCTGTATATGGGTGGTATCACTGTACTCAGGAGATGTAGCCAAACACATATTGGGGTGTTCTTTGGCAGTAAACCTTAATGTTCTCTATACATGTATTCTTACATTGCTATGTGTATCAAAAAAATCACCAATTATAATTTTTTGAAATTTGACTGAGTGCAAGTACTACAGGTGTTCTTTATTTAGCGACCTACCGGTTTTACGACGGCTTGCACTTACGATCAGACATAAGTGCAAGCCATCGTGGGGATTCCCTGCTCCCGAACATAGATGAACGTACCAGAGCAGGGAATCCCTCAACTCCTCACTCACCGACCAATTCGTTCTACGACCAGGTCGTAGGAACGGAACCCGGTCGGTAAGTAAAGAGTGTCTGTATTTGATTTTTTGGTTAAATGCTATTTTAGGTGACAGTTGTCCTTTAAATCCTATTCCTGGCCTTGCCTATTATTTACATGCTGGGACTTTTTACTAAAAGTTGTGCACAAATATGTAAGAACGGATCCATCAGAGGGTAGTCGAAAATGGATTACTGCCAACTCTTTTCTGTAGTGCAGTGCTCTAATTGTCGCTGTCTTGGGTCCCAGAACTGTTGTAATACAGAAGTGGGAGGAAGGACCTAAACATTTAGGGCTGGTGATTGATCAGACTCCTCATGCATAGGAGATCCTATAAGTAGACAACTTGGTCAGGCTCTCTGTACATGGAAGTACAGTCAGGGTCAGCGCTACCACAAGGCGGCACTTGCTGTCGCCTTAGGGTGCATCGGCCCTGGGGGCATAATTTTAAGCTGACCGGCACGAGGGAAGCTCACTGCGCTCCTCTCTAGCCAGTTACTTCTTGAAGCGTGGCTGAGCGCAAGCGCCTCCTGCCCTCAGCACAGCCTGGGTCTTACACTCCGCGCAGCCCAGCCTTCTACTCTTCATTCATGCCGCAGGCTGTGTGGAGGGGGTGGGATATAAATTGCATCATATTCCTGCTCTCTGTCTACCACACAGCATGGCTGGCGACTCAGTGATAGGGGTGGGCTGCAGGATGCTCCTCAGGAACCTAATTGTACAGATGTATGTAATTGTGACTGTCTGTATTACTGTGTATGTATGTCTCGTTATGACTTTATGCCTGTGTATGTTTCTCTTTAGGACTGTATGCCTATGTTTGTATGTGTCTATATGTATCTATGTATGTATGTAAGTTTCCATATGTATGTGTGTCTTGGTATGACTATATGCATCTATATGTGTGTATCTGCATGCCTGTATGTCTCTGTATAAATGTATATCTGTGTCTGTCTCTGTATGACTGTGTTTGTGTGTCTCTGTATTATTATTATTGCCATTTATATAGCGCCAACAGATTCCGTAGCGCTTTACAATATTATGAGGGGAGGGATTTAACTATAAATAGGACAATTACAAGAAAACTTACAGGAACGATAGGTTGAAGAGGACCCTGCTCAAATGAGCTTACAGTCTATAGGAGGTGGGGTATAAGACACGTTAGGACAGGAAATATCAAATAGGGTGGGAGTGAAGCAGAGCTGGAGGAGAGGGTAGAGTGCTGCCCTATAGGACAGAGCAAGAGACAGGTATGTAAGGTAGAGGTTACTCTAGGAGGCCATAAGCTTTCCTGAAGAGATGGGTTTTAAGGCTCTTCTTAAATGATTGAAGACTAGGGGAGAGTCTGATGGCGGTAGGCAGGCTATTCCATAGGAAAGGAGACACCCGCGAGAGGTCCTGCAAGCGCGAGTTGGCTGTACAGGTGCGAGCAGCGGTCAGGATGTGGTCACAGGCAGAGCGGAGGGAACGAGGAGGGGCATACCTATGGATCATTGAGGAGATATC